GAAACTCTTGAGTGTTGAGATGGAGGTAACCCAGATTTGGCTTGCAACTCAAAGCAAAAAATAGACCGAGCAACGGCTCGTAACTCGGAAAACTCGTTAGTTGGGGCACTCGTAAGTCAAGGTACCACTGTATTTACATTTGAAGAAGCATCTTGGTCTTTTTATTGGTTGTCATTTTGTTATACATTGTAAATTTAATATTTTAAATACATTCACCATTTCTACAGCAGGGTGACCCAGAGAAATAAAACACAATGCTGTTTCCATGGCTTTCTTTCCAGAAGTGTACTGATATCAAAATTCAAAACATCCAGTATTAAGATCCTCACTTATCCTTCAGAGTCCTGCAGTTTTATTGACTAGTGAATTTAGTAACCTAAATGAAAATTACATATTTTATGAAAAAGAGGATAAAAAAGTAGACAAGGTATGATATACATTGGAACTCTGGTTTTCATACTGTTTGCATATCATACAATTCGGATTAAGAACACTTTTTTGGGTGAAATTTTGGTCCGGATTTTGTAGCTCAATTCGAAAATCGTACAAATCATACATGTCCACCTGCCCAGGAATGCCGTCAGTCTGGTTTTGTCACTGGTTGAGTGAGCATTCTTCTGAAACATTTCACAATTTTTGTGCTTGTTTATTGATTGCAACTGCGAAATAAGCCACCATGGGCCCAAAGAAAGTTCCTAGTGCCAGCCCTTTGGTAAAGAAGGTGAGAAACACGATAGAATTCTTCAGTGATTCTACAGTATGTATGATACTAAGGCAGCAGGAGCCAATAAAGGCTATAGCGCCAGCCAGCGATAAAGTGCAGCATTAAGAGTGTAGCATGTAAGTTTAGCAATTAAGCGATAGAAAAAGAATGACACGAAACTAACTCCTCCAGTGTTGTTGGAGGTTTAAAGGCCACTGACAACATACACTGCCCTGTGCTATTTTCCACCACCCTCAACCTCTGCCAGCATCTCCTCCAAGGTAAGTGTGTACTTTAGTATACATGTACATTCAATAACCACTTTATTTCTTTACATTCTCTATTGTGTTTTTATACGATATTTCTTATTTATAAATTACATACGTTGTTTCAGTGTTTTCCTTATGAAACTGTGATGTAGTGCAGTTAGCCTCACAAACACTCCATTTTCTCTTATAATAATGGGAAGATATGTAGTCACAGCAGGAGAGAGAATGGCAGCTGCCACAGCCACCACTAATCACATACGTAATAACATATTTTATTCATTCTAGAGGATATATCATGTTTCTATGTTATTAATCTTCTTCTTTCAACACACCGGCCGTATCCCACCAAGGCGGGGTGGCCCAAAAGGAAAAACAAAAGTTTTTTTTTTTTTTTCAACAAGCCGGCCGTCATGTCATATTAGATGAATTGTGATAAATAAATAAGCCATAGAGTTGATATTAGCATCACATTCAAGTATTTTGTCCTATCTCCAAGCAATAAACTCTCCTCCCTCTCCCCTCCTGACTGTCTTCCATGCACCAGTAAGACTCTTCAATAAAGGTAGAAGTGATTTAGATGTTCATTTATTCATTTCATTAGTCCTTTATATTTATTTCTCATTGTTTTCTGTGTGTAAAACTGTAGTTATTCTCTATAAAATGTATTTTTTGTCAATACTTTTGGGTGTCTGAAATGGATTAATTGGATTTACATTATTTCTTATGGGAAATATTAATTCGGTTTTTGTACATTTCGGATTTAGATTGACCTGGAACGGTTTAAGTACGAAAACCGGAGTTCCACTGTAACACATAATGAAAGTAGTTTGTTATATTATGTACTGGTGGATAAAAGGTTGATGGGTAAGCTTCAGGATGTGAAATAATCCCTGCACTTTAAAGGAGGAGTTTGGGATATTGGCAGTTTGGAGGGACTTCTAAACTGTGGTATCTGAGTGCCTCTGCAAATACAGGGATTGTGTATGAGTGATGCTGAAAGTGTTGAATGATGATGAAAATATTTTTTATTCTTTTGGGGTTTTTCTTTTTGGGTCACCCTGCCTCGGTGAGAAACAACCGTTGTGTTAAAAAAAAAATGAAAATTTAGTAAAGATTTAAATAAGGATCTGCTTTTGAAGTTTATCTCAGTATAGTTATCATGGGTTTTGAATGCTGCAGTGAAAAGGAGACTAGAGGCAGTGGAGATATCATGTTTGAGAGCGATGTGTGGTGTCAGTATCATGCAGAGAATTTAGAGCATAAAAATTAAAAGGCAATATGGGATCACCATGCATGTAATTCAGAGGGCTGGGGGTTGACAAAAAGGGTGATTAAATCTAGGGTGGAAGGTAGTGGAGGTAGGGGTCATCCCAGAAATGGTTGGAGAAAGGGAGCAAAAGTGGCTTGAATTTTAGGGGTTTGAGCATTCTGCGGGCTTGTGAGAGTATATTAAATAGGAGTGAATTCGGACGAGTGGCTTTTAATGAACATGTTGGAGTACGTGCAAGGTAACTTTTATGAAGGATTTTGGGGTAACAAATTATCCAGATTTGAGCCCCGGACGTGGGAAGAGCAGTGACTGCACTTTGAGCGAGAGGTGGAAAGAATACAGTCAGAGGGGGATCTGTGATGTCAGTGCACTCTTCGAAAAAAGGCAGTTGACTGAATGATGATAAATGTGTGTCGTTCTTTAGGTAACCCTGCTGTGGCATGAGATGGCCAATGGATTAAAGAAATATTATCATGTGGAAATGTAGCCTGTTTGTAGGCTGTCATATATGTGCATTAGTTAATGTAAATTAATATCATGATATTACAATCTTTCAGCATCTTGGTGATGATGAGGTTGATGCTTTCTTACGAGAGGTTACTGCAATGGCAGATAAAATTTCTGAAATAAAAACAAAGTTGCAGATGGTTCCATCATATCAGGAGGCTAAGGAGAAGGCAGAGGTATGTTATATGTTAATAAATGATCATACTCTACTTATATTGGTGTACATCTTTGTTAACTATGAGGCACTCAATATGCAATTCATCCCCCTTATTTTATTATTTTTTTATAAGATGAGATGTAATTGGCTCTATGTGGCCAAATGTTGTAAGGCAGTGGCGTCGTAAGGGGGGGGGGGGCACCCCGGGTGACACCATTTGGGGGGGGCGCCCCGGGTGACACCATTTGGGGGGTGATACTGTAGAGCCTGTAAAGAAGGTGACATTAATGCCCAAAACAGTGCTGCACCAACATAAGAGAAGAATCCTTTGTTTTTGTATAGCCTATTTAGGCCTGTATAGGGAAAATCATTGATTTTGATGATGTGATAGATGATTTTGCAGGATTGAAGGCAAGGAAATCTTGCCTTCCCCTCTCACTGGCTCTATTACAAGTGTGGAGGTTCACCCCCCTCCTCGTTCTGTGCCTCCCTCCCCTGTCCCCTCCCAAGTCTCTCCCTCTTCTGCTGCCTCCCAGGTTTCTGCCTCTTCTGTCCCCTCCCACACTTCTTCTCCAGTTCCCAACACGCTTTCGTTCCCCCCCCTACTTTAGTACAGTCCATTACTGTCCCAATTTTTACTCACCCTCCTCCTTCTATCTCCAATATTGTCTCCCATACAACGTCTTTGAATTCAGAAACACTTGACACTATTTCAGAATATATTGCAGAGACTAAACCTTCAATGGACACTGATCCACCTCCTGTTCCTTCTCTTCCCTCTCCTCCATCTCCACAACTCCATTCTTTGCAATGCTCCGTTCCTTCGCTGCTTGAACGTCTTCTGATGCCACCGCACGTAAACTTTTCTAACTCTTCTAGTCCGTAGGTGCCCTTACCTACGGATTCCTGGTATTTTCCTCGTTGCCAATCATGGCCTATTTACAGTGGAATATCTGCGGCCTCAGGGGTAATTGGGGTGAGCTTCAGATGTTGCTTTCCAGGTTTTTCTCTGTTGGTGTTTGCTTACAAGAACCAAAATTACACTCAGCTGTTTTCCAACCTATCTCAGGCTATAATTTATTGTATTCTTTGGATCCTTTCTCAGATGGGACCTTTAACCCTTTGACTGTCGAAGGGCCCAATCCTGAAGTTGCTCCTGGTGTCGCAAAATATTCGAAAAAAAAAAAATTATTTTTTCTTATGAAATGATAGAGAATCTTTTCCCGATTCTAAAGACACCAAAAAAACGAAATTTGATGGAAAACTGACGGAATTACGCTCTCGCGAAGTTAGCGACTTCGGCGATATTTAAAAATCGGCAATTTCGCCCACTTTGAGCCCTATTTTCGGCTAATTCCGTTATTCCAGTCAACCAAACTCATAACTATTTCTTCAGAACTCTATTTTTTCTATCGATTGAGCACAAGAAACTGCCCATTTACCGATTTCAACTACCCAATAACATGGTCAGAAATTTGCAATTTGGCCAATTTCACGAAAATTAAAAAATACGACAATTTCAAAATAAGGTCCAGAATGAACAATGCAGACATTCCTGGCTCTAAAATAAGATTTTCTTTGTTCATCAGTCATGTCTCCAGGTCCCTGTGATATTACTCTTGCTTTTTATTTTGAAATTTTATTCAAACGAAAAATAGAAGATTTACTGTTATGCAGACTACTGCAATACTGTAATAATTGTAAAAATTACATCAACCCATTCATGACTGCGTATTAGAATGGCTATTTGGACATTTATTGGACAATGACATCATTTGTTTACTTTTGAACATCGGCAAAAATCAAACATTTCCTGTACTTTGTGCTCCATTTCCAGGTTCTTTTTATAGTAAAATTAATCAAAATCACCTCCATTTCTATAATATAGTTTCCATTCTATCAAATGAGACCATGAAAACGAGAATACAACCACAAATACTATACGAAAATAGACCACAAAGTCGGCATTTTAATTAAAAAAACGGTCGGAGTTTTTTTTTTTCTCATTATGCACTGCGTGCTCCAGGATTTTTTTTATGTGGTGCACACTGACCACACAGACCCATTCTCTCACATGTGGGCCTACTAGCTTTCTCCTGCCTGATTTGAAGCCGCTAGAATTTATGAGTATATATACGTCAAACACGGTACCTCACAAACGTATATATACGGCCGCGACAGTCAAAGGGTTAATGAAAGTGCCCTTCTTCTACGTAATGATATTCCATACTGTCAACTATTTGTCCATACCTCGCTGCATTACACTGCAGCCCGTATCCACTTGAATAAGTGGTTTACAATATGTTTTTTATATTTCTCTCCTTCTCGAGCATTTTCTATCCCAGATTTTGCCTTTCTTGTTTCATCCTTACCACAACCACTTCTGTTACTTGGCGATTTTAATGCCCATTATTTCCTCTGGGGGGGGTCTCATTGTGACTCGCGTGGCATTCAGTTGGAGGCTTTTCTTGCCTCTCACCCCCTCCATGTTTTAAATACGGGTACTCCCACCCATTTTGATCCTTGTACTCATACTCTCTCTTGCATCGATCTATCGGTCTGCTCTTCCTCCACTGCACTAGACTTCGCCTGGTCTGTTCTACCGGATTTGCATAACAGCGATCATTTTCCAATCATCCTTACTTCTTCATATTCACCACCTTTCCTTAGCCCTCGCTGGCAATTTGATCGGGCAAATTGGGACCTTTACTCGCAACTCACTGCTTTTAGTGAGGTTCCTTCTTCATCCTCTATTGATGAGCTCCTACACCTCTTCTCAACGTCAGTTTTAACCGCAGCTTCTCATTCTATACCCCAAACCTCAGGCAGGCATTCTCAGAAGTGCATGCCTTGATGGTCTCCTGCTTATGCTCGTGCAGTACGTTTGAAACGCGCTGCATGGGCATGGGGCAGGTACCGGTACAATAGAACCGATGAGAGACTTCTGATTTTAAGCAGAAGCATGCGGTCGCTCACCGTGTCATCCGTGATGCTAAACGCACTTGCTGACGAGATTGTTTCCACCATCACCTCTGCTTCCTCTATGAGTGCAGTCTGGAAAAAAGTGAGGAAATTGAGTGGTAAATACTCTCCTGACCTGGCTCCTGTTCTACAGGTCGCCGGTGTGGATATAGCAAACCCTCTTGACGTTGCCGTTGAAATTGGCACTCATCTGGTCCGTATTTCCCGGGGGCTCCATCTATGCCCCTCGTTTCTTTCCTCAAAGTCTGCCAGAGAGTTAGTACCCTTGGACTTGTCTTCTCTCAGAGAAGAACAGTATAATGTGCCTTTTACACTTCAGGAACTGGAGGCAACACTCTCAGCTTGCCGATCATCAGCAGCTGGGCCTGACGACATTCATATTTGGATGTTACAACATTTACATCAGTCAGCCCTTACAGTCCTCTTACACCTCTTCAGTCTTATTTGGTCACAAGGAGTTCTTTCCCAGCTATAGAAATTTGCCATTGTTCTCCCTTTCCGCAAGCCGGGTACTACTGGACGTGATGCCTCCCACTATCGTCCCATTGCTCTCACTAGTGCAGTTTGCAAAGCGATGGAACATCTGGTAAACCGACGTTTAATGTGGTATTTAGAGACACACAACAGTCTCTCCACTAGTCAATATGGCTTTCGTAAGGGCCAATCTACAATAGGCCCCTTACTACGCTTGGATACGTATGTTCGTAATGCCTTTGCGAATAACCACTCAGTTATTGCCGTATTTTTTGACCTTGAGAAGGCATATGATACAACTTGGACGTATAATATTTTGGCCCAAGCCCACTCCTTAGGCCTCCGAGGCAATCTACCATCCTTCCTTAAGAACTTTTTAACTGACAGACATTTCCGTGTTCGAGTTAATAATGTGCTCTCCCTGGACTTTGTCCAAGCTGAAGGTGTCCCCCAGGGATGTGTTCTGAGCACAGCACTTTTTCTTCTTGCTATAAATGGTTTGGCCTCTGTTCTTCCATTCAATATTTGGTCATCACTCTATGTTGACGACTTCGCTATTGCTTGTGCATGCGCTGACTGTCACCTCATTACAGTTTCTCTCCAGCATGCGGTCGACCGTGTTTCCAATTGGGCCACCACGCATGGGTTTAAATTTTCCAGTACCAAAACTTACTAATTTACTTTCACTAGACGCTCTGTCATCTCCATTCATCCTTTGTACCTCTATGGCTCTCGTATCCCTAAACGTGATACAGTCAAGTTTCTAGGCCTTCTCTTTGACCGTAGGTTATCCTGGAAATCTCACATTACCTCTCTGAAGGCAACTTGTCACAGCTGGCTGAACCTTCTTAAAATCCTTGCTCATCTTTCATGGGAGCTGATCGTTGAACTCTCCTTCGCCTACATTCAGCCCTCATTTTATCGAAACTCGATTATGATGACCAGATCTATTCAGCGGCCTCTCCTGCTACTTTCTCTAGCCTTAACCCCATCCATCACCAAGGATTACGTTTATGCCTTGGTGCTTTTCACTCTTTCCCTGTTGAGACCCTCTATGCAGAAGCGAATGGTCCATCCTTATCTGATCGCTGTGATGCCCATTGCCTTCGCTACTATGTATGCTCTCACAATCTCCGCAATCCTTCCATTTATAGAATGGTCACCGATATTAGTAAACATTCTTTATTTGTTCGCCACCCCTGTTTGCTCTGTCCCTTCTCTCTTCGCCTACATTTGCTCGTCTTCCCTTCAGTTACCACCTTTATATGTTCATGTAGCATCTCACTTTTCCCTACCCCCCTGGGAAGTTCCAGCTGTTTGGGTCTGTTCTTTCTCACTCCCTTGCTCGAAAGCCCATCTGCCTAAGGTGGCTTCCCGCTCTCTTTTTCTTGACCACTTCCACTCTCATTCTCATGCCATCACAGTGTACACAGATGGCTCTAAGTCTTCTGACGGCATCGGATTCGCAGCATTGTTTCCGGACAGCATCGTGCGAGGGCATTTACTATCTTTGGCTAGCATTTTTACTGCTGAATTGTATGCCATTCTTGCAGCACTTATTCGTATTGCATCATTTGTGGTTGTCTCAAGACTCCCTTAGTGCTCTACCGGCTATATGGAAATTTGACACACCTCACCCCTAGTTCTCTGTATCCAACTTTGGCTACACCTTATCTCTACCAAGCATAAAGATATTGTTTTTTGTTGGGTCCCTGGTCATGTTGACGTACAGGGCAATGAAGAGGCAGATACTGCTGCGCAGTCAGCGGTACATGACCTACCAATTTCATATAGAGGTGTTCCATTTCCGGACTATTTTGCTGTAATAGCTACCCACCTTCACACCCGTTGGCAACAATGTTGGTCAACTCTACTCGGTAACAAACTTCATTCTAATAATAATATAATAATAATATTAAACCGAGTATAGGTTACTGGCCGTCTTCTTGTCATCAGTGCCGAGGTTGGGAGACTACTCTCTCCCGCCTTCGCATTAGCCACACTCGTCTTACTCATGGGTATCTCATGGAGAGGCACCCTGTTCCTCTCTGTAAGAAGTGTCAAGTTCCAGTATCGATTAGCCACATTCTGTTAGACTGCCCTCTCTCTCAACGAGCACGCAGAATTTACCTCCAACGTCGTCTCTGCTCTACTACTCCCTCTTTACCGTCCCTTCTTGCTGATGGACCCTCCTTCAATCCTGACTCTCTCATTGACTTCTTGACAACGACTGATTTACTCCACAAACTCTGATGATGATACCTTTCGCACTCCCCTCAGCTCTTTCTACCTCAATCTCCTGCTGCCCTCTACCCTTTCACTATCCACTGCCCCGCTGTTCTCCGTAACCTACTACTCATCCATCTCCCTTTTGCCACCTGATACCCTCACTTCCTTCCTGCCCTGCAGTGCTGTATACCCCTTGTGATTTAGCGCTTCTTTTTTATTATAATAATAATCTATCAGAAACTTTACTAAAATCTAAATAAGCAAAATCAAATTCTTTATCATGATCAACAGCCTCAAAAGCTTTACTGAAGAAAGTTAATAAATTAGTTAGACAAGAATGGCCTCTTGTGAATCCATGCTGAGTATCATTAATCAGATTATGCTTATCCAGATGGCTTCTTATAATCTCAGCTATAATTGACTCTAGTAATTTGCCTCCAATTGTGGTCAGGCTTATTGGGCAGTAATTTGAAGGTAACGACTTGTCCCCTGCTTTAAAAATATCTTCCACATATCGGACACTACTTCTGTTTAACCCTTAAACTGTCCAAACATGGATCTACGTCCATGTGTGGGGGGCTCCGAACGTAGATATACGTTTTTTTTTTTTTTTACATGCTTTCAAATGGGGAAAATCACGGTCGGAGCGCTATGCACATGAACGTAGATCTACGTTTGGACAGTTTAAGGGTTAAGAAATAAATTAAAAATATTAGTTAATGGTTCACAGAGTTCCATTTTGCATTCCATAAGAACCCCTGAAAAAAGCTCATTAGGACCAGGTAATTTATTTTGTTTCAGTTGGTCTGTTTGTTTCATAACCATTTCACTAGTGACTGTGATGTTACATAATTTATTTTCTCCAGGCCCACTATAAAAATTAATTACTGGGATATTGTTAGTATCTTCCTGTGTAAAAAACGAGAGAAAATAATCATTTAAAATCGAGCACATTTCTTTCTCTTTATCAGTAAGATGCCCATAGTTATTTTTAAGGGGACTTATCTTATCCCTAACTTTTGTTCTATACACCTGGAAAAAACTTTTTGGGTTAGTTTTCGAATCCCTAGCAACTTGGCAGGTCCTTCACAAATCCAACCCACTAACAGAATTAATGCTACCCAAGCAAAAGCTTTGATAATTCTATTTACTCATATGCAAGTCCCACTCAGTTTTGTTGTGAGGGTTCGTGGAGATATGATTGTTGGAGATAAACACACTTGTTGGGTGGTAACACTCTATTAGCAGAGTATGAGAAGGGAGCCCAGCCTAGCCTGTCTTGTTGCCTTTAGGTCTAAGCGTAATCTGAGGAAGAGGCAGAGCACCCAACACTCGCATGCAGCCTCACGTGACGTCACACATGCTAGCCACTGAGCCTAGCAAGGGGTCAACTATGTACAACATATGGATGGTACTAACTATGATACTCAGATAACATATACATATACTGGGGATCAGGAACTATGCTGACAATCCAACTCCTCTCACTCATGTATTTATCCAACTTAAATTTGAAACTATCCAAGGTTTTAGCTTTATTAGGACCTTGGATAGCTTTAAAAGGAGATTGGACAAATATATGAGTGGGAGGAGCTGGGTATGATTAGTGTCGTGGGTACATAATAACATAAGAAAGGAGGAACACTGCAGTAGGTATGTTGGCCTAGACCCCCACCTTCATTCTGAAATTCGAAACACTGCTGGCCCCAAGGGTTTCGGATAAAGGGATGGGGACTATAATTATTTTGCTTTTTGTGTTTAGTTTACTTTATTTACTTAATGCCCAATAATTATTATTTTTCTTCCTTTAGGCACTTGAGCAAGAGGTAGCATTGCTGGAACCAGATGTTGCTACAGTTATCTCCCATGGTGACACCCTTACACTCACAACACACATGGTGGATGTTCCCCGAGCCAACACTATTCGTATTGCTGTCAACGATTTGCGCACACACTGGTCGGCATTGAAGAGTGAAACTGAGGTTAGAGTTAATTTAATATCTGTATAATGTACCCCATACCCATCCTGTGGGTGGTAGTCAAAGGATTACAGAAGTACATAATGGGTCCAGGGACTTGGCTGCAGAGTTTTGATAACAAACAAGTTAGTGTTTTTTTTTTTTTTTTTTTTTTTTTTTTTGAGTTTTTCTTTCTTTTTGGGTCACCCTGCCTCAGCCGTTTCCCACCGAGGCAGGGTGACCCAAAAAGAAAGAAAAACTCAAAAAAAAAAAAAAAAAAAAAAAGAAAAAACTCATTATCTTTCAACACTTTTACCATCACTCATACATAATCACTGTCTTTGCAGAGGCACTCAGATATGACAGTTTAGATGTCCCGCCAAACTGCGAATTCCCAAACCACTCCTTTAATGTGCAGGCATTGTACTTCCCATTTCTAGGATTCAAGTCCGGCTAACCAGAAAAAAGGGGCAACGAACCTGTTTAGTTGTGGTGAAGGTCGCATCTAGGACGATGACACCAGGTTGCAATGTTTATATCTTTGTACAAAGGATGGGGGACGAAAGAGATTGTAAAAATTAAAGGGAAATAAGTTTACTGAGTATTCCAGGTAAAGTGAATGGTAGGGTTATTATTGAAAGAATTAGAGGCAAGACAGAAAGCAAGATTGCAGGTGAACAAGGAGGCTTTAGAATGGGTAGGAGATGTGTAGATCAAGTGTTTACTTTCAAGCATATACAGCCTCTCCTCACTTAATGATGTACTCGTTTACTGACACCTTGGACTTACAATGGGCTCTCTGACCAGTATTCATACCTAAATAATGTATATTAGAGCTGATTGTGTGAACGATCTCTGATATTGTTTTAATGTCACCTTTGCACCATTTATAACATGACTGGTATATTTTTCAATGTTTATACAGTAGTGTACTGTATATTGAAATGAACAGAATAGAGGAAATCAGCTCTAATATACATTATTTAGGTATGAATACTGGTCAGAGAGCCCATCATAAGTCCGAGGCATCAGTGAACAAGTGTGTCGCTAAATAAGGAGAGGCTGTATATATAGGCTTGTACATGTATGTGTAGTGTGACCTAAGTGTAAGTAAAAGTAGCAAGACTTGAAGCATATATATATATATATATTTTTTTTTTTTAACAAGTCGGCCTTCTCCCATCGAGGCAGGGTGACCCAAAAAGAAAGAAAATCCCCTAAAAGAAAATACTTTCAGCATCATTCAACACTTTCACCTCACTTACACATAATGACTGTTTTTGCAGAGGTGCCCAGGATACAACAGTTTAGAAGCATATACAGTGGACCCTCGACTAATGCTATTAATCCTTTCCTGAGAGCTCATCGTTAGTCAAAATAATCGTTAGTCAAGTTAATTTTCCCCATAAGAAATAATGGAAATCAAATTAATCCGTGCAAGACACCCAAAAGTATTGAAAAAAAAAATTTTTAACACATGAAATATTAATTTTAATACACACAAACTGAAGAAGACATGCACAGTTACATGACACTTACCTTTATTGAAGATCTGGTGATGATTGATGGGATGGGAAGAGGGGAGTGTGTTGATGGTCTTAGTGTTTAGAAGGGGAATCCCCTTCCATTAGGACTTGAGGTGGCAAGTCCTTTTTCGGGGTTACTTCCCTTCTTTTAATGCCACTAGGACCAGCTTGAGAGTCACTGACCTCTGTCGCACAACATATCTGCCCATAGAGGCCTGTACCTCCCGTTCCTTTATGACATTCCTAACGTGTTTCACAACATTGTCAGTGTCACCATTAAACACTTGTTCAGGTTTCAGTCCTTCACTGTCTATGTACTCCTTGAATTCCTGCACATATTTTTCAGCTGCTTTTTGGTCCAAACTGGCAGCCTCACCATGCCTTATCACACTATGTATGCCACTACGATTCTAAATCTCTCAAACCAACCTTTGCTGGCCTTAAATTCACTCGCATCACTAGTTGCTGGCATTTTTCTAATTAAATCGTCATGCAACTTCCTAGCCTTTTCACATATGATCGCTTGAGAGATGCTATCTCCTGCTATCTGTTTTTCGTTTATCCATACCAATAACAGTCTCTCAACATCTTCTATCACTTGCGATCTCAGTTTCGAAAACATAGTTGCACCTTTGGCAAGAACAGCTTCCTTGATTGCCGTTTTCTTGTCCACAATAGTAGCGATGGTTGATTGGGGGTTTTGTGTACAGCCTGGCCAGCTCGGAGACATGCACTCCGCTTTCATACTTAGCAATGATCTCTTTCTTCATATCCATAGTAATTCTCACCCTTTTTGCTGTAGGGTTGGCACTAGAAGCTTTCTTGGGGCCCATGGTGACTTATTTTGCAGGTGCAATCACTGAAAAAGGCTGTGATAATATTAAATGTTCCCATTGTATGCTTGGAAGCGACCACGGTGGCTGGCTGGCTTGTAAACACTGGCCAGAAGTGGACGCGTCTCAGACGGAAGGAATAGTGTTGGTCGAGTTTTTTAGCGCTAATTGAGGTAAAATTTTTGCGATAAAATGTATTGCTTGTCAGATTTATCGTTAATCGATGCCATCGCTGGTCAAGGGTCCACTGTACATATAAAGATACAAAACATATTCCCCCAAACTGCCAATATCCCAAACCCCTCCTTTAGAGTGCAGGCATTGTACAGTGGTCCCTCAAATATTGTCCTTAATCCGTTCCTGGAAGTGGGACTATTATCGAAACAGACGATTTTCGAATAAATTTTCCCCATAAATAATGTAAATACAATTAATTCGTTCCTGACACCCAGAAGTATTAAAACAAAAAAACTTTTTACATGAAATATAGATGTAGTGCATAAACATTACAATGGGACATGATGAATGAAACATTAACAGCATAACACTTACCTTTATTGGCGATTATTCTTAGTGTATGGAAGACTGGAGGAGGAGAGAGATTGAATTACTGTTTGGAAGGGGAATCCCCTTCTATCAACACCTCAGGTACCAAGTGCTTTTCTGGGGTTACTTCTCTGTTTCTTAATGCCACTAGGACCAGCTTGAGAGTCACTGGAGTCCTGTCTCGCAAAAAAACTGTCCAGAGAGCTCTGTTTCTGGCGTCTCTTTAAAACTTCTGTATAACTCTTGTGGCTTAGCGCTTCTTTTTTATTATAATAATTTAAAACTTCCCTAAAATGGGCCAAGACTGTCACTGTACAAGTTGCCGATATGGCTTGCAACATCCTTCTCTGGGTGATGTTTCTCCATAAATCTTTCCATCCTACCCCACATTTCAAAAATCTCCTTAGTTTCTGAAGAAGGCACCTTCTTCCATCTCTCTTCCTCCTCCTCTGCAGCAAGATTCTGAGCTGCGATCTGTTGCTCTTCCTGCTGAAGCTCTTGCAGCTCCTCAGTAGTTAGCTCTTCGTTGTGGTCCTCCACCAACTCTTCCACATCTTCCAAACTCACATCCAACCCCATGGATGAAAGTTCGCCACAATATAGTTCACAACTGACATAGGCTCATCAGGGGCTGCCTCAAACCTTTCAAAATCCCTCTTGTGGACACAATCTGGCCACAAGTTTCTTCAAGCAGAGTTCAAAGTCCTGGTAGTCACTCCCTCCCAAGCCTTACCTATAAGGCTCATGCAATGGAGAATACTGAAGTGTTCTTTCCAAAAATCTCTTAGGGTCAAGTGAGTGTCTGAGGTCACATTAAAGCACCTTTCAAACATTGCTTTGGTGTAGAGTTTTTTAAATTTTGAAATGACCTGCTGGTCCATGGGCTGGAAGAGAGGAATGGTATTCGGGGGCAAGAACTTTACTGTGATGAACCCAAACTCCTTCAGAACTAGGTCATCCAAGTTTGGAGGATGAGCAGGTGCATTGTCCATTACTAGGAGGCACTTGACATCCAATTTCTTTTCCAGGAGGTAATTCTTCACACTAGGGCCAAACACTTCATTGAACCACTCGACGAAAATTTCCCTCGTGACCCATGCCTTATTATTAGATCTCCAAAACACACACAATTTACTCTTCATAACATTGTTTTTCTTGAACATTCTGGGATTTTCAGAATGGTACACTAGTAACGGCTTCACTTTGAAATCCCCACTAGCATTAGCACAGAACATGAGTGTCAGCCTGTCTTTCATAGGCTTGTGTCCTGGCAGTGCCTTTTCTTCCTGAGTAATGTAGGTCCTCTTTGGAATTTTCTTCCAAAAGAGGCCTGTTTTGTCACAATTGAACACTTGTTCAGGTTTCAGTCCTTCAGCCTCTATGTACTCCTTGAATTCCTGCACATATTTTTCAGCTGCTTTTTGGTCTGAACTGGCAGCCTCACCATGCCTTATCACACTGTGTATGCCGGTACGCTTCTTAAATCTCTCAAATCAGCCTTTGCTGGCCTTAAATTCACTCAGATCACCACTAGTTGCAGGCAATTTCTTTACTAAATCGTCATGCAACTGCCTAGCCTTTTCACAAATAATCGACGTCATAAGACTATCTCCTGCTAATTGTTTCTCATTTATCCACACCAATAATAACTATTCAACATCTTCGAGTACTGGTGATCTCATTTTTGTCAACATATTTACCCCCTTTGCAACAACAGCTTCCTTGATTTCCTTTTTCTTGGCTATGATGGAAGATATGGTTGTACGGGATTTGTTATGCATCCTGGCCAGTTTGCCCCCACGTACGCCACTTTCATATTATTCAGTGATGTTTTTCTTAAATTCAATCGTATTTCTCACCTTCTTTACCAAAGGCTTGGCACTAGGAGCTTGCTTTGGAGCCATGGTAGCTTATTTAGCACTTGCAAGCACTAAAATGAATGGAATATTTCGTATGAACACGTGAGGGGACCGTCGCTCACTGGTAAACAATGGCACACTGGCTGGGAAGGGAGGCCGATGCGGCTCAGAGCCGTGAGTACGTGTCCAGGATGATAGACGATTAGCAAGTTAACGGACCATTTGCGAGCCAATGTTTAGACGAAATAATGCGACGATTT